TTGAATCACTAACGACATATATTTTTAATTGTAGAGAACAGTTTCCAATAGATACGATTGTTTGAACATATTCATCAACACATATGAAGGTACCCAGAAAACTTGATAGACGTGCTGGCTCATCCAATGTTTTTATTTCCAAACCAATTTTTAGTGCTAGTCGTTTCTCCAATAGAGAACAGTTACTACCAAAATCAATGAAGGCTTGAACATTCATATTATTTATTTGGATGTTTTTGTAAAATTTTTCAGAATCGTTGTTTATAATCATTTTAACATTTTCAGTTTTCATTTCATCTTTCAGTTTTTCATTTTTATTCGTATTTTTTCTGCATGCTATACTGATATGACCTTTCATTCCACAATGGTTACGAATTTTATGGCGATGAGGGCAGTTATTATCCTCGTGACCAAAGAAAGAACATCTTCCGCATTGTAGCTTATTTTTTGAAATATTTTTTTTTATCAAATAATTTTGACTTATACTCTGATTTATTCTCAAATTCAAACTTTCTAGTACTAGGTGTATTCATGAAAAATCGTTCTTTTTTCTCTGTCTCTCTCGATAGTATTGTAATTGAGAATGTCTTATTTTTCAAATAGGCACCCAAGGTGTTGATATCCGTAATATTGGCTGCCTCGGCTGCTGACGTCATATTGCTATCATTGATTGAACCCAATACTAAAGAAACTTTATCCTCGCCGGAGAAATCTAAATTTAATTTATCAATTTTAGCAAGGTGCTGAAAAAAAAATTCATACAATGAACAACCATCCGTAGGTTTGTGGTTTGCTATGTCCATAAATAGACTATAAGTGTCCCTTCTAGACTTGAAGGTGCTAACCAACTTTCCCTTCCAATCCTCCCATCCGTAACTTGGCCAACCTATCTCGTTGTTCATCAAACTATCGTACCATATTCTTGCTGTACCCTTTAGTTTACTTAAGGCTTGATATATAACAGTATGTTCTTGCCATGCAAATGAGGATGCGTTGTCATCATTCATTTCTAACCATTTAGTTACACTATCTATCATCGGGTCCAATTCAGGAATAATATTTGAAATACCTGGGTTTGTTTTATCCTCGGGTTGAGAAATCGGAGCAGCTCTTTGACTCACTCCTGCCGGACGACTATTTCCTAAATAACTTCCAGAGTTCCGCGTCACCTTCTCCCTTCTGTTGTCTCCAGAATTTCTCGACGTTGAACGTGATCGTCTTCCATGCCGACCCGGTTCTTTCTTCCTTCTATTATCTTCAGAATTTCTCGAAGTTGAACGTGATCGTCTTCCATGCCGATCCGGTACTTTCTTCTTTCTGCTATCTTCAGAATTTCCCGATGATGAACGTGCTCGTTTTCCATGCCGACCCATGATGAGTAAGGCTGAGTTACTACCACTTCTGATGTTAGGGGCTCAGAGACACTACACTAAAACACTGCTTTGGTAATCGAATGGTATATATTCCGCACGATACTCTACTACTGAAAGGCACCAATAGAATGAGTAATAATCTCATTCACATTAACATTCACCAAACACTTATATAATGTCTTTGTCACCACCCCGCTGACGTGTCCACGATAACGGTACATAACACGATTGATAGGCCTCACTGCATATCGTCTTGGCTTTCTCCTCGTCAAAACAACATATGACATGCTGCCAATCAGTAGGAATAAAACTGCTTCTTCAATTTCCATAACTCAACTCTCGGAAATCACTTTACCTTTTCACAAATTAATCGGATTCGAAATGGCGGCAGAACATTGAAATTCACAAAAACATTTGAGGTTGAATTCAATTTAATGAACAGCTAGAACACTCAGACATAAAGATAGGGACGAGTTAAGTACTGGTATTTACATGAAAAAGAAGAGCTCAAAGTAAAATAAGGTCTTGCATAAAGGTATCAAAATCCTTAAATGAAAACTAATTTAAGTGACAGCTAGAAAGGAGCGAATTTAAGAAAAAGCGGTGTGCATAAGTCCACCTTAATTGTCTTGACCATTAATTTTCACTACAATTATTTATGTACTTTCCATGTACTAGGTGTTCTAAACCTACTGCGGAGTACATATTCATCATTCCCCATTGATAACAAATTCATTTTACTTACCTACTAACCTGTAATTGTTTAGATTATTTTTCACTAGATCTATCTTCTTCCCGTGTACTAGGTATTATCAACCTACTGGATTATCGATTGAAGATGCAGAAGACAACCGCTTTTGGGCCTTGGTATATGAAAAAATGGGGTTACACATGCAAACATATCTCTCTATCGTCACGATTCTAGTCATGCAATGAAACATTTCGATAATAATCCTGGAGCAAGACATCAAATGCCAATTTCGTGCTTTTCTTGACCATCTTCAGAATACATTTCTCAAAGTGTACCTGTAACATGTAACACAGGCTTTATTATAAATTATTGTTGTTGTTGTTATTATATGATTATTAGTCAACCGTGTATTGTGTAATATTCATAGATGTAATATGTAATAGACACGTTGTTGATACAATAAATCATGTTGTAGTATATGTAGATGTAAATGTTATAACATGAAGCATATACTTGGTAGTATATTAGGTAATTTAGTAACGTACGGTATATTATAATGTATAAGGGATATTGTCCGTATATCACCAAAACTTTCAGTCTTGGGTTACTCTGGTTTTCAATTTTTCAAGCACTAGCTCCACATATACGGACCTCTTGTCAGCTGTCATCATTTTGATAGACAATCATTGTCAGCTTGGTATCACGGCTTCATTCGGTTCATTTCCATTTTCCACACAATTACACAAATATTCGTTCACCGTTGAACAGCCTTATGATAAGAATTTAAAAAATAGTGAAGAGGATTCGAAACGTAAATCCAACCTAAAACAGTAATCACCTATCGGTTACGAGGGTTCATTTAACTTTCCATCATCTCAGTATTCATTTGCTATGGAGGAAGCTGCAGGCCTATTTGTACTTGTGAACGAACTTTTTTCTTCGGATAGCAGTAGTAGTAGCGATGATGAATTCATTCCAAGGGGTCCTATTGGTAAGTAGTTCAAACACCTTTCTATAAAACGATTTTTCACTAAATATTATAAAATTAATTTATTTCACAGTCTACCGCCCTAGAATCAAGAGGTTTGTCGAAGATGTTGTAGATGCTTACAGTGATGCAGAATTCAGGGAACATTTCCGCATGAATAGACAAACTTTTCAACACATTCTAACATTGATTGAAAATAAAGTTAGTGCACCTATAATAGAGAGAGGCCGACAAGTGATACCACCAAAAGTTCAACTTCTAGTCACCCTCTGGTACTTTGGAACTCCTGATTCATATAGGTAGTGACATTAGATATATACAATGTGAAATCAATTGAACAGCTTATAAATTCTACTACAGAGATATATTCTCATTCAAAATCATTCATTGAACATTTCTCTTTCTATTGTAGATCTATAATGAGTCGCTTTAATATAGGAAAGGCTACATCTATCAGAACTGTACGTAGGGTTACGAATGCTCTCCTAGTAATTAGTATTGATATCATTCGTTGGCCTTCACAGGAAAATATTGATATTATTAGAAATGGTTTTCATCACATGGGAATGCCAAATACCATCGGCTGCATAGATGGAATGCATATTCGAATACCTAAGCCTAAACAACATGGATTGTCATACATAAATAGAAAAGGATTTCCTAGTATACTGTTACAAGTAGGTTTTTCATGAACTGTCTATTATGTAGGTATGTAACCAATTGAACTTATTTTAGGGAATATGTGATCACAGCTTGAAATTTATACATGCTTATGCAGGTGAAGTTGGATCAAATCATGATTCCACAGTATTAAAACGAAGCGAGATATGGAACTTCTTGAATGAGTACTTTGATGAAAAATTACCAGATGATACACATTTATTAGGAGATAAAGCATATCCTTGCCTGCCACAGCTGTTAACACCATACAAAGATAATGGTCATCTCACTGACTCTCAGAGGAATTTCAACTTTTTATTATCAAGAACAAGAAGTACTATAGAAAGAGCATTCTGTTTACTGCAGAAAAGATTCAGATGTTTGAAAGATGTGTTGGATGTGAGACGCCTGGATTGGATACCAAAATATGTTATAGCTTGCTGTATACTTCACAATATATGTATCATGCAAAATGATTTGATGGAAGTGGAGGCAATTGTGGGTGTTGACAATGATCCAGATGTCAATGATGCCATGTTTATTGGAGCCATAAGACCACGGCTTCTGCAGGGTCAAGCTAAACGACAACGACTATGCCAGGAATTGAATCATTGAGCAGATACAAAGTTTCAAGAACTGATTTTGTAGGATCCTTGAATACTTGTGAGATTTTACAAATGAAGACCCCAAGAAATTATTGATAGAAATCATGAATTTGATATTCATTTATGATTTTTTTAAGCTTGTAATGTTAGGATGGGACACTTGGTAGCAGGACACCCCTCTGATATTTCAATTTATTTTTCTATTTCAAAATTTTCACGAAATCGAAGGTCTACTGTATATCTCTGGGGATTGAAAATCTAAAAATCATACTACACCTTTTCCAGCTGTATTTCAGAAAGTGTCAATTCAAGCTGTATTTCAGAAAGCATCATTTGTATTTCAGAAACTATCATTCGATTTACATATGAAAATATCTATTTATTTAGCCACAAAAATATTGATATCCATAAATAAATATCAGGGGAGTGCTCCGCTTTCGAGTGGGTCACACTGTTTGATAAAAAAATGGGATAATGATAAGAACTTTTTTGAGGACATCATTTATGTGTGAAGCTCCATTCCATATTAAATATTGAAGTATATCTAATATGAGTAACATAACTTTTTTGATCCAGATTTTTAATGAAATAACAAATTAAACAAAATCTGATAATCAAGTTAAAACAAAAAAAAAACATTATTTGAACAACAAAAACTCAAATTCAATCAATATTAAGATTGTTCATTTCTTGCTGAGGTTTTCTTTCATCCATTCGAACATTTCTCTTTTCAAATTGAGTTTTTCTTCATGGCGTTTTTGTCTCTTCTTCTCAATTTCATAGGATGACAATGTCCGTTTCCTATATAACTCCCCAGGAGACAACTTACTGCAACTGGCTGGTTCATTTGTCTGTTCATGATTTTTCTCCACAATACTTTTCATCGAACCAGTGCTACTCACTGTAGCAATTGGTTCGAAGTGTGGATCACGAAAATAAATTTCATGCAACTCTTCATAATATTTCCAATGTACAGATTGATGATTGCCCGTTTTACCTTTCTCCACTTTGATCTTTCCGTACGTTTTCTTGAGGTTTCTCCATTTTTCATCACATTTATTATATGTTTTGAATATTCCTTCCTTTGCAAGTTCACCACTAATTATCTTCCATACTTTGTTCTTGGTGAACGAGGCGTTTTCAAATTTATTTTTGTGTTTGACAAAAGTGCATATTAATAATTTTATTCCCTTATCGGACCATGTACTTTTGGTCTCAATATTATCAGCATCTAATAAGTCAGCAGACAAATTCTGTTTTGAAGTAGAGGCACAATCATCGGACAAATGGTCAGGTATAGAATATCTATTTGTTCTTAAATTCACTTTGGTAGATAGAGCAGTTGGTTCCGGAGGAGTGTCGAGCTTCCTTGGCATAGACCGACGGATTTCTTTTCTTTCGAAATCCATTTCAATATCGATAGAATTCAAATTTAGAAAACAGTGATGTTTTGAAGCCAGATCGGCCTCCAGGATTTCACCCAGGGTGCCCACAACTGCATTGCAATGTCCACATGTAAAAACGTCATCCTAAAATCGGTTCAGTTACGATTTCTTTATGAAAATGAAAATATAAACCTACCTCCTGTACCTCCATTTTTTCTTCCACCTTTTTTCGAATTTTGAATTTGAATTCACAAAACACAATTTGACTGACATATATGACACTTGAATATAGTTGTATAACCGAAACTACCAACGCAAGAATACGGTTGCTCTGGTGACAGATAACTCACCAATGTTTCAGGTAATGGTCACCGCTTTTTCAGGAATTTGGACCACTTGAATTACTAACCAAAGTAACCAAGAATATATACGGACCATATCCAAGATATAACTAGGTTAATTCTGACGTGCGTCAGGTATGTTATGATTAATAAGTGAATATTTTTATGCTTATATAAATGAATATATTGTAAACTGTACTAAATTGGGGAATGGAGAGGAGTAGAATGATTTTGGACCCAAAAAAGAGACTGGCCTTAATTGCTTGAACCTGTCCCAAGTCCCGATATATTACATAGCGATCCTGCCGAAAACGTGGAAAATAAGGAACAAACAAATTGGACATCTAATGATCTGATGAAGAGCATGGTGAAGAAAAATTGAAAGTACTAAGAAAAATTCCAAAAAGTTGAAATGGGAGGCAAAAATTCAAAGAAAGAAGTCATAAAGCTGGAAATAGTGGTGGCCAGACGACAGGGACGGCTTTTGGAACAGCAAAAGAGGTACTTACAATGGGAGTTTTAGTTTTAGCTATCATATGCATTATTGGTGCATGCTTCTGTCATTGTAAGAAAATATTGAAAAGGAATATTAGAACAGAAATATCAAGAAGCATGGAACAAATCTAGGAATAATGACAATGGCAATGGAATGGAATGTCAGTACCAGAAGATTTGATATACATATTGGAGGAAGCCCGAGTATTTTATAGAAATTCGAATAAAGACAATTTGGAAAGAAGAAAGTGTGCAAAATGTGTTAATAGTAAGGTAAATAAGTTATATGGAATTAGGTCAGAGCTAGGGAGTTATAAGGTCAAATTTAATTCAGGTCAGCATAACCCAAAAATAGCTATAGTTAAGGAATATGTGAAGGAAATAGAGAAAGCTTTTGAGTGCGAGCCAGAATACGTTAGATTCTCGTTTGCTAGATATAGGGAAAGTTGATGAGCCAGGTGACATCCAGACCGGTTCCTCCGGGTCTGAGAGTGATATTGTCTATCCAAATGAGCAAGTAAATTCACCTACGTCTGGAATAATGGGTGAAAAGTTCGATTTGAAGACGGCGTCAAGCTTTTTGCCCGTAATGGATGGTTCAGAACTTATCACTAAACAGTTAGTCGACTCTATGGGATGGTATGATGCAGGAAAAAGGTTGTTAACTACATATGTGTTGAAAACACGTCTGTCTGAGGGGACAAAACTGAGGTTAAAGTCGGATTATGCTAGTAACAATTTTTTTATTCAGGATATCAAGTCAAATTTCATTTCAAAGAAGTCTCCAGCAGTCCTGTCTGTGAAACTCAATTCAGCTAAACAGCGCGGGAAATCTGTAAAAGAGTTTGGTAAATCTATTGAGAAGATGTTGGTTGATCTAACAATTTCACAAGCCAATGGTGACACTCACACTGCAGAAATTTTTAGATAAGTCAATGAAAGAATCGCTATTAATTCTTTCGCAAATGGGCTGCAAAACAACGATTTGCGCACTATAGTTAAATCTCAAAATTTCCAGTCACTGAGCGGAGCTATTAGGGGTGCAATGAATGAAGAGCTTACACATGATACACCTAAACCATTTTTTCATATGCGAGGAAATAATGAAACATTTCGTGGACAAGCGAATTTTGGCGGACAATTTGGACACCGTGGTGCACCACAACAACGCTTCAGTCCTAGGGGTAGCTATGGTTACCGTGGGAATGCGAGTAGGGGTCAGTTCCGAAAAAATTTCAATACCCAAGGATGCAATCGTTTTCATTCCAGTCAATCAAGGGGAAATTTCGATGCGGGAAGAAATTTCTCAAGAAATAGTGGAACTAGGGGTAGGAATTATTTTTTGAATAGTGGCGAACGCCCACATACAAATAATACTGAGAATAAAGACACATCTGCTCACATGTTTTTTCGTTCCTAACACACAATATATAGCAAACATAAATGGGTTACATTTTATCAATGCTAGGTACAAAAATGAAAATTTCAAGCTTTTAATCGACACAGGTGCATCCTCCGAACAACGATGATCGAAGGGTGCATCTATCAGTGTCATATTTAAAAATAGTGTTGACAAACTTCAGAATGTGGATTACTCGAAACATATCAAAATACATGGTATTTTTTCAGGGTCAGAGATTACTCAAGGCTGCGTGAGTGTTGAGTTACAACTTAATGATAGCACAGAAGTGTGTCATGACTTTCTGCTAATGGATTCATTTCATGACGATTTCAATGGTGTTTTAGGTTCAGATTTTTCCATGCACTACTATACAAAAATTGATTTTGAAAAATCTATTCTTTCTTTTTGGATAAATGATGAGAAAATATGTTTACCGATGAGGTCAAAACATGAACAAGTTGTATCTATTCCTGCAAGATGTGAAATAATTAAATACTTTGACATTCGTACAAGTGAAGATTGCATTGTTTTACCAGAAGAGGTATCTGGAGGAGTTTTTGAGGCTAGCGCCGCAGCTAGACCAAATAAGCTTAATAAGATTCCTGTTCGGATTTTGAATGTGCGTGAAAATGATGTACTGTTGAAAAATTTCACACCAAAAACAAGATCACTTAATGAATACGAATTCTGCAGTTTCAGCACAACAGATAATTCAGTTGCTAGAATAGATGCAATTTCAGGCATGTTGAAACTTGATCATTTACAACAATCCGAGAAATATTCGATTCAAAAAATTTGTTCAAAATATTCAGATGCTTTTACATAGATGGGGATCCTTTTACGACCACAAACATTTATAAACAAAAAATAAATTTATAGCCATCTAAGGCACCTATATATGTTAAACCGTACAGGTTGCCACATGCTGTGACATTCACAAATGCTCAGAGGACCCAGTGCCCTCTAACGTACACTACTTTCAACTTTGGAACACACCTACACTCATATAAAGCAGGAATCGATACATTTGGTAGTGCAGAGTAGTACTTTCTATTACAGCTAGACCTAACTCTTAGTTTCGCTATTCGCTCAGAGATGGCGCTAGTCGAACTCAGAGCAAAAATCAGGGAATTAGACAAAATAATCATATAATTCACCTCAACATGTTTTGCAACAAATGTAGTGTGAATTTGAGAACATATCATCATAGTCTCAATTACAGGTCAGGAAATGGAATTCTCAATTTTCTTCCAAATTAGTATGTTTGAGGTGAATCTCTTGGTCGATCTATCAATTTCCATCTATTCCTGATTGGAGATTTCAAACTGTCAGCCTGGTCTGTTATAAAGTACCTGAAATAAACAATGAGAAAATATCAATAATCAGCTGTGGTACTTACCAAATTCAAGAGGATAAAATCAGTATTTTTCTGTGTCCAGTTTCTGTTGTTAGTATCACCTGTATTCCAGGATTCAGGAAGCATCTTCCGTTTCGTTTTTCACCAGCACTAGTTGTTATTTTCCGGAGTCTTTCCAAATCCTAGGAAAATGAGTGAAAAGAATCTGATTCATAGATGGCACGACCATCGCGTTGACAGCGATGTCTGTGAACAGATTTTTAACAGGTTTCGGGGTGAAGGGGGAAAGTTTCGATGGATTTCGATGGAGTTCGATTGGCTTCGATAGGCTTCCAGGAGCTTGTGGTGAAATTACACAAGGCTTCGAACCGATATTTTCGGGATTAGTGCCTGTTTTTCCCAAGAACAGCTTCCCCTAATTTGGGGACTTGCCTCCAGCCATTAAACGAGGTGATCATAAACCGAGTGTGAAACTTCCAGTGCTCCAGGCATCCAGAAACTTCAAACACGTGCCGGCTTTTTTTGTGAATCTTGGTGAAGCCAAATTTCATAATTTCACATCCTACGGGGAATAATATGATGTTTTCCTGTTCACTTTTGTATGAAACCCTCTTTAAGGGGGTTTTAGGTGGGACTACGGCCAAGCTATTTTTAAACAGTAGCAAGTGTCCTGGTTACTTGCAGATGTAGTTTCTTCTTGCTGGGAAACTATGAGGGCAGTATTATCAACCCCTAGCTCTTGACAGTATTACCATCCCGGGTGGTAGTAATGCCCTACGGCTTCTCAATGAGAAGATAACTCATGGAAGGGTCCTGTTAATTTTGTACCCAGAATTGAAGTAATTTTTCTTTCTTGCTGAACTGAACCTGTGGAGCTGTCTGGACTGATGAATTCTGGAATGGGAATGGATCACCAATAACAAGGCCAGATATAACCTTTTTAATGATATTTTGTTGTCGTTTTCTTTTACATAACTTAGCTTTCACATTTGCCTCACCTGGAACCATATTATTAACTTTAACTCCTAGACTGTAAAATGTGAATTTACTCTCAAAGCTGTACAGCCTTCGCTCAGTACTGTGCGAATGCCATGATCATCATCTTCAACCTTATTGTGAGAATAATATTTCATACACAACATTACTTATGATTGTTGACAGTATTCTTTAACTTATCTATTATGATTTGCCCAGGTGAGTTACCATGGTGAGAAGGTAGTATGAATGTGTGAATATCACCACATATTATTCAGCTAAATTTCAGTTTGTCATATACAGGGTGATCTTGGCGGTTCAACAAGGCTTCAGGTCAGATACTTGTTAATTGATTGTTTTTTTCGTAAATATATGTAAATATCTGGGTGAATATAATTTCTATACATTCCCCCCTCTTCCTGAGTTGATTAACATTGGTTTGAAATATGAAAATCTCAATACATATAATTTTTTTTTGTATTGTAAAGAACTTTTCAAATTTAAACGGATCTTGTTTCCTTGACTTGGACAAGGCCAAATATCCTAAGTACTTCAAGTCAAGTGGCGCCTGGGTAAGTTTTCCTCTCTTTTTTTTTTTTGGAAACATATTGTCAATACCGATACAACTCTTATGGAGAGTG